ACACTTGGGAAGACACTAAAATTTTGAAACTGCATTTCCAGTATTACGAAATCGCGAAGTGTTTCAGGTTAATTTTAAAGATGTGTTTTCATAATTTTTCATAAAAAGAAAAATTGTATGAAATAGCCAACTAAACGGGCAGTTAACTTGCTGCTAAATATCTTGTAAAGCGATACGATCGAAAGTTATGTTATTTCTGTATGTTATTAGTGAGTTATATTATACAGTGTACGTTATTAAGTAAGATATATTATATGCCTTTACATAAAGAGCAGCGGCATCTAATTTGGTAGACTTTTAACGACGGAACTTTCGTTGCTATAGATGACACCACGAAATAGAGGAGGATAAAAAAAAGCATGCAGAATTTCGATGGCTTTAGATTATTGTTCGACACACGGGGACTGACATATAAATTCGACGATCTAACGATGAGATCAATTGAGTAATTGAGTACAGAGAACACAAAGCGATCGGACGTGGACTTCACATAAGGATGTACGAATATTGTGTGGGGAGAACTGACTTGCGAGACAACAAGAACTCCTCGAGTAAGAATCCCGAAATTTCGAAATGACGTAACGTCGTCGACGAAACGACGGAATCCCACGGATTACCTTGTACTCGTCAGCGAGTCGCCGGAGCTCGATCACCTCCGCCGTGGGAAATGGTCTCACTTGTGACTTGCTCGGCACTTTATTGTCCAATATCCGCACGGTTCTACCTGACCTTTTACCCCTGCAAATAATCAATTTTGCGTGTGATGATCGCGTAATGGTTACGTCGCGTTATCATCGCGTCTTCACACCGATCGGGATCGTCGTAGATGCCTTTCTTAGTTTCATTTCCCTTATTCCGCTTCCTCTCTCACGAGGATATCGAATCTCTTTACGCGATAAGTCATACTAATAACTTCGGCTGGCAATCTGACCTGAAAGCTACTTTCAAATCCGACAGGTCTTCCTCGCGCTCGTCGCCCTCCGGTACCATACCGTCGATTCCGTCCGGTCCACCCACCAATGGTTCCAATTCCGATGCCTGAACCCCTGGGGAACACACAAAAATACACTGAATTAGTAAAAGAACGCAATGTAGGAGACAATAAGAGCCAGACGCTATAGAGATTAGGTGTGGATATAACAAATTTATATTATTAACTTAAAATTAACAATGTCAAACGTTTCATTGGAAGAAGATAATAATTTTTAATCTAATATTTGAGGCTTTTGTTTTATACATTATTACTTCATACAGGTTGCTACACTCTGAGACAGCGAACTGAAATATTTATTGAATGTCGGAATAAAACGACAAACTTACGCGGCTCCAATCCGAGAATCAAATTCAATAATTTTCAAGTCATAAAAATGTGACACTTGACAAATTCAAGACTTGCAACGTCTATTTGGGATCCAGATTAATGCTAAAATTAACTAAGTACCATCGCGCTTGTGATCGAGATCACCGGGTCGCTTCTTGTGTACCGGCGCAGGTCCAGTGGGCACCATACCCTGTTTAAGTGCACCCATGCTGAGCGATTTTCTCGGCGGGCCCGCAGCGTTCGCAGGCATTCCCGCAGCTAGAATCGGCGCCTGGGTTTCACCATTTGTCACCTGCGATCTTTTAGGCCAGGCAAACTGTAGCCGGTACTCGGTACTGATACGAGATATCGCCTTACTGAGCTGACTTGGTGGCAGTGCCGATGTTGCTGTAACTTCCTACGGTGCGAAAATTAATATTTCTAACTCGATCCTTTGTGATAATTCGATATACATATATTGGGAAGTAAAATAATTCTTCTAGAATTTACTCATCGCAAATAAAATTACAGAAATTTACAATTACAGTAGGTCCTCAAGAAGATTTGCTCTGAAAAGACGTACTCTAAAAATAATTGTTGTTATAGAAATAAAAAATTGTTACTCCACTTGTTCAAGTATGAATTGACTTATAAGAGCCATAATAAATTCCTTGACTTATATATAAGTATATGTATATGCAAATAAAAATAAGAACTAAGAATAAGTACAAGCTCGTCTTTATTTAAAAATGAGTATAGGAAATTAAGGCCAATGTATTTACGAGCGAAGTAATTTGATTTTACATTTAATTTTAACAAATAATTATTTACACTAAGCCTAGGATTAAGAGAGGAAAAGCGTTACCTCGTACATTACACTGTTTCGTCTCGAATTCCTGTATTCCACGGAACCTTGTTCACCGAATTTTATTAATTAAACATCGGCTTTATCAAATTACTTATCGCTCGTAAATACATTGGCCTTAATTTCCTATACTCATTTTTAAAAATAAGAAACTGTATAAGAATATTATGTATTAATTATTCATTAAATACATTTGATATTGCAGAAACGTGACAAAAATATAGCTTTTATTTTTAATTGTTTATTATACATATATGTTTTAATTATATAATTATAAGATAAAATTTTGATTCTCATCTTTTTTTATTTTCTTGAAGAGATCGTTAAATCTCTATATCGGTAATATGTTAATTTTTGTTTACGCAGATATTGTTAGAAACTGCAAAAAACAATAGAAAATTATTATCAATGCTGTAATCCCCTTACCCGTACTTTATCAGCTACGACGTTCGAATCGATGGCGTCGATACCACCGCCATCTGCTGCCGTGATAAATTCGTGCGTTTTGTAAGCGAGCTCCGGACATTTCTTTCGCCTGGGCAATGGTGGTTCCAAAGCGGGCCCCGTATAATTGGACCCTGTCAAATTTATATTATTTTTGGATCGTTATCTTCTCTTTGTTTTCCATAATTGACTTTGAAATGTTTCTTTGTTAAGTATCTCGATCGTATACACTCAACTTATTGCATTGGAGCTAACATTTTCAATTACCGATCTGCGTACGTATTATGGAACTTTGCGAAATGGTTTATGATCGGAATTACTCCGTTTTTCCTAGAAAACGCAATCTAGAAATCTAGGAAATATTTGAACAATTCCGTTCAAAATCTATTCCGAAATTTTCAAATTTTCACAATATCTTAAACAAAATCTTCTATAAATTTACATTTTAATAGCATTTATTTAATCAATATCCATTCTGATAAAGAAAAGAAATGTAATTAAGAGTTTTTCAGATAGTTAATAAAATTAAAATTCATAAACTAATTACAATTTACAGTGGTTGTTAGCTCTTCTTTCGAATCCGTCAGGATCATTTCTCAAGCGATAAGTTTTTGTTATACTTATACAAGTGTATAAGTTTGTCTTACAAGTGACGGAAAATAATTTTTGACAATCGAGATACCATAAAGAAGTTTCGATCAACTTTCCAAGCGCGATTGTACAAGCAAGATAAACACACTATTAAAAAACATCACTGCAATAAGAAATAAATGTGATGAAAAATTGCGAAGGATAATAAAATTCTTGCAACGTTTTAATAAGATAAAATGACCTCTATAAGATACCATGGTGGAAAATGGGAACGGTTTTAAGCGGCATGCAGGAAAATCTTGAGAAAGTAAGTGGAATATAATATATCAAGCGATGATGATAAAAAGTTGAGGTTGCGCAATAAAGAAATTGAACATGTGTTCTTTGTGGAAAAATTGTCGCGTCGACTTTGCGATTCCGATATTAAGCGCGTGTATCAATTAATCCATCATTCTTGCGTGACATTAAAATTCTTCTTTCACGTTTAATACTCGCTTGTTTTCTTTCTGTCCACATAATAGCTTTTTAGCGATAGCAAAGTATTTAGTGGCAAATAATGTAAGTAATTTATTTAATTCTTCTTGCCTCCCCTATTTAACTATTTAATAATCAGTTCTATAAAACCAAGAATGAGAGACGTAAAAATCAAGCTGTTATCAAAGCATACTGAAGAAATTTTTATATCACTTTTTAATGATAAAAGTATTAAGACTGGAAAATAACTGAACAAATTATGATCGTGTTTGCTGCCCTTAGAACCTAAAATTTTTTATAGTAATGTACACAATAATAAATACAAAATAACATATGATTTCGTATTATATGACAATAACCTATTTTGGGCAGTTTTTTGTATTTTTGTTAATTAACATGAAATTAATAATAAACAAACACTAAATTCTAAGAAATCAATGAAACATACTAATATAACCACATACATTTTTGGAAGTATTAAAAAATTTCTTTAAAAATTAACCTTTTTACCGATTCTCAGCAAATTCAATACCATCCTTTAGTGATACCCTTCATATAAAAAATTTTAGACTGATATTACAAAATTTGCAGAAGAGTAATTTTAGATGATTTTAAGGGTACACACATCTACATTCTTATGTCATTTTTCAACATTTTCCAACATTATTAACACATTGGCAAAGAAAACTAGAAAAACATTTTTCACAAAAACAAAGCTCGCCATAAAAAAACAAGGGTGTTTGGCATAAGGTGTCCATCCGCTCGTGTACAGATAAATCTCGTTAAACTGTAAAAAGTCCTATATCATTTTGCAAACAACCACAAAATTTGGAGTAATAAATTAATAACGATCTACGAAGCAGTGTGTGTGTGTCTGCGTGATTCAGAGAGAAAGTTAGCCCAGTAGTTACCATTGTTACGTACGCGATGAGGTATTGGCTATATACGAATGATATGTGATGTTGAATTGTCTCTGACGCTTTGTTACTTATTGTAACGGGTATTGCTTTTTTCAAAACTATGGACTATTTTGGAAAACGGATGGAAGGGTTTTCCGTCGGAAAAAATAAATAAGCTAGTAGCTAGATTAGTAATTAAATAAAAAAAAGAAGTAATTAAATATAAAGGTAGCTACCTCGATAAAAAAAGCGTCTAATACCCTTTTCATCTCGTAAAAAAAATACTTTATACATATAACACTTTCAAACATTTTATATAATATTTTACATTTTATTCTAAAACAATGAATAATAAAAACGTGTTAAATCACATACATAGACATTTACAATTAATGGTTTCAAAGCCGGTAGTGTACCTGATACTAAATGAGTATACCACATTCGTGTATATATTGCATATAATATATGGCAATTATTACCCATTGGTTTATGCAGTATATTGTCGATTTATTAACAAAATTTACGGATAAAATAATTCTAAAAAAATTGTAGACATCTAGTAAATTAGTTTGAAAATTTCAGTAAAATATCATATCAATGTGTGATTTATTGTAATTATCGAAATATAAAAGTCTTAAAGAGATCTGTAATTATAGTCATCATTTGAATCTCTCTTTTCCCGCAAATCACACATTGATATAATATTTTACTTAAATTTTCAATCTAATTTACTAGATATCTATATTTTTTCGAATTATTTTATACGTAAATTTTGTTAATAAATCGACAATATACTGCATAAACTAATGGGTAATAATTGCCATAACATATGCAATATATACACAAATATTTTTCGAAAAGCAGCGGGTCATATACAAGGGTGAACGACAAGCATGAGCATGGCATTGTGTATAAATCAAAAGAGCCGCGTTTTATTTCCGTTTACCGCGACACGTCGCAAAGAACGCGTTCTATGTTCACCTGCATTATTTTTATGGTTCGATGTCGATGGCAGTGAAGTATATGTATAAAATCGATGTAATATGCTATACTGTAGACGTCAGTAAGTAGGCGTAGCCATTTTACTATCATCTCTTACCCACGCACAGTGGGGCACAAATCAGAAAACGCGTATAAAAATAGATATAGTAAAATTATCTTCTATTATTATTGTTGTATGATGTTCTATATAATATTTCTAATATAATTTTTATACCTAAAAGTTTACTTTATCCTGCATTTTACTCGCCGTTAGCGTTAAATCATTTTACATTTATTATTTCAGTTATTTAATATCTTAAAATTTTTTATATTTGAGTGGTCGATTTTGATTATGACACCCGGTACAGATTGAAGGAGGTCCCAGGTTCGAATCCTGGCTGAGGTAATATTTTTCGCGACAAGAATTCTTTGCAGTACGGGGAGGTATTGAATGCTAAATATAACATTTTAAAATAATTAGAAATCGTTTATCGATTTTAATATGCGAATTCACTGACGACAATGATTCCATCTAAATGAAACTGTGTTATGTCTGAAAAGAAACCGGCGTACAGGACAAGATGGAGAAAACGGTATTTAAATTTACATTTTAGATTACAATTATTGGGCTACCAACATCTTGCTCGGACTAACATTTACGGATTAATATTTACTTTCGTTACTGTTAGAGTTAAATATTTAATAACAATATTTTATAATAATGACACATTGATATATAATTTGATATATTACATTTTTTTACGCAATCATAATATATTTGATTGACAATTTTTAATCGAATTAAATTTATATTTACTATTAGTAAAAACTAATTGAAAGAAAAATTTTTGGTACATATTGATTTATTGTTAGAGATGAGAGTTAAAAGTTTCATGTAGAGGAGGGAAGACGTCTCTCTATGTAATGTATGTATGTACATACATAGAGGTAAACTATCTTAAAACTACTTCATAGGTATGTAAAAGTCGTTCTTCATTCACATAAACTTCACACATGTACATGAAACAGTTGCATGTATATTTATTTAGAAGCGCCAAGTTTTTGGCACGAAATATTCTGTTATTTTAATAAGCATAATAATAAAATAATTAAATGTCATGTTAAACACAACTTTATATGCAGAATACTAAGTAGTCCTTTACATTAAATATTTCACTATTCTATTATAAATGTATATGATACAAAAATTAAATTGCACAAACTGTGTGGATTCATGCATATCCTTACAGAAATGTAATATTAACAATAAGAACAAGAGCACCAAAGTAATTTCTAGAAAATTACTATACCTACATCAGTAATTTTTAATGATTCAATTACTCAACTTCTATAGTTATTATTTCAGTGCTTTTTTTGGTTCCTAGTATTACATTTCCGTAAGGGCAGTTGTGTTTTATATCACTACATTTTTATAATAAAAATATGTTAAAACGACATTGCTTTGTAAAATATCTATTCTAACGTGCGCAGACACTTGGCCTGACACTCTTTTTCATCTTTTTTGCATAAGAGGTAATTTTTATGGTAAAAACTTATTTTTTTCCTGTAATAGATACATCAGCAATGCACAGATGCAATTGGTTGAACTGTTCAGAATTTTATATTTAATAATAAAAGTGGTGTATTGAAAAAGGTAGAAGAGAAAAAAGCAAATAGAGAAAAAGTTCATTAGAATTGTCATTTGTTTGACGCAAATATAGTAGCTAGCATGACAGACAATTTAACAATCGATAATTAACACTAATGGATTCGGTTGACGTAATCCATGAAATAATTTCAATCTTTCCTGAGCATATTGCAATTGATACCAGTGATTGCGTGAACACAAATATCCCTAATACTCAACTGCATACTGATTAGTATCTATATTGATCGTGTTTTACACTTCTTTTATTTTCTATTCCCAGACGATCCCATAAACAGTTTCTAATGATTAATTTAAGATCCGTTGGACCAAAAATGGCCTTTCCTTAACATTCTCCTTTCAAACTTTCATAGCAGCCCAATGGATTATTAAAATAATTTCAGTATTGGAATTAAATCGAACAAATTTCGGAATTAGTTGATCCTCGTTCTCTATTGTTATTCCCTCCAATCCGCATACACGATTCAATTGCAACGGTTAATCGCTACTACAATCGGCCTGAAGTCCAAGGGGAGTGTACATATTTATAGGCAAGCATTTGGTAAATTTCGTGCAGATAAATACGGGAGAGAACTATAATATATAGATATACGCACGCGCGCGCTCTCGAGTAAATGTGGATGTGTATGAATGTATGTGTAATAAATGTGTACATATGTATAGCCGTGTATGTAAGCGCATGCGCGTGTTGTGTGTGTGTGTGTGTGTGTGTGTTTTGCGCACATTCTACGTTGTACACCACTCTATATTGGATAAGTCGGCCACAAAAGATAGAGATATTTTGACGTAGATTGTGAGAGCGAGATAACTGATGATTTGTAACCGCGGTGAATTTCATGTGGATTTAACGTTTTCGGCTTGAATGACGTCCTTCTCATAAAAAATTCAGGATATCGTTTCACCCACGAATGTATTATGTGCGAGGTTTAAAAGGCTGCAGAAACGTTATGACATTTTTAATTGCGATAAGGAAAGATTTTTTTAGCTCACACGAAGTTCAATGTCTAGAAGAAGAATGTCTTTTATGTGAAATATGGTAATATTATGTAATAACGTTGTAAAAATGTTAAAGAGCTTGGGAACGGAAAATTTGCAGGCGTATTTTTACGTGACGCAGGGAACGTATTAACATTAAAATCACAAATTTAATACTTTATCGATCATTTTTCGCATAAATAATCGAACAAATATTTTAAACTATGTTGGAACCGCGGTTTTAAATTCATAATTTTAATCTATAATTTGTAATCAGCAAAATCTACAAATATCAAGTTTGATGCAAATCATATAGTAAAACAAGTAAAAAATACAATAAAAAGTAACAAATTAGGTTTACATAATAAAAATTATCTTAGATCATTTTTTATAAAAATAATCGGTAATTAAAAAAATTTTTTTAATTAAAAAAGTTTAGTATTTTTATGTCTGTATGTAGTTTCAACTATACCAAATAATATTACCTATATAATTAATTGAAAAAGTGAGAATTTCATCACTTATACATTATTAGTTGGAAAAATTAAACAGCGGTGATGTATCATACAATTTTATTAGCTCACGATAGTCGACCATTAGATTAAATTTTTACTAGAGTAATGCTGCAAGTTTATTTTATGACAAAAATTTATTAGTAACAAATAAAAATTCATTAAAATTTAAATGAGTTTTATTAAAAGAGCAAAGCTTGCGTTTTGTTATTCCTCTAAATTCTGGATTGAGATATTTTTGTTCTAGAAAAACGTCTTGTCAAAAAGACTTGTTACAGTAGATCGTACCTTTCGCACAATATACACGTTTATATTAAATATATACAATATCGATATTTAATGAAAATATGTTTTAATTTCGTTAGTTTCACAAATGACTGTAATTAATTGATTAGCGAAAGACTAAATACGATATTTGGCATAAAATTCAGTGTTGCCTTTCCCACTGCGTGACAGTAATTGATAAGTGAATATTTTTCGTAGAATATGGAAGGTGATCGAAAATACTATTTTTCTGAATTCTAATCAAAGACTGAATGCAAAAATAAACTTTAGCAATTGGATCGAAACGCGAGGGGAGAGAAAGTTATTTAGTTTGATAAATAGAAAATGAGAGTTGAAGAGTTTAGAAATTATTCGTAATGTTTGCTTTAAGTAATAATGTTATTACGTTATTAAATAATAATATTATGTAATAATATTATTACGCTTGCGTTTGTATGTATCGTGATGCATATACGCCCTAAATTCCGTTATTTCACGAACATTGTTTTGATTACTCACAGCTTTCGCTGGAATGATAATGAGCTTAATATATTTATAGAAATGCTTCGTGCGACTTTCGTGCAGGCAAACGGGAGTTTATCATGACGAGTACTTCGCATAGATTGTCGAAATAAGATATGCAAAAGTGAAAAATCTTACGTCGTTCATGCCCTAAACTTAATGACTCATGTCACTAACTGTTCGTTGATTGTTACAACACGATATTTAACCAATCAAATTATGCTGTAAACCGAATCGTCGATAAAATTTGTAAAGGCGAAATGTAAAAAATATTTTTTTCTAATCAAAGGAAAATTGTATTTACAAAACCAATTCAGACAAAGGAATAATTAAGCTTTTCGTCTTTGGTCCCGTCAAGTGACATGAAAAAAGTTCGATCAATCGATAATGACGTAATCGCAATTGATAATGACGTTATCATCACATTAGGTGAATGTAAGTTTCGAAAAAGAAAAAGAATGGAGTGCTAACAAGCAATGTAATTTTTGCGCCTAGTTTATCTATTAAAGTATTAACAGTATTAAATCGTTCGAAAATTTCTATCGGTTTTGACATAAACTCATTAAAACTTTTCTATAGGATCGAGAAGAGCTTAGTGTTTCTTCAGTCTTCAAATATTTGAACTCTTTGTTCTAGAAACGTTCAAATGTCTGAATTGTGACATCTAAAAGAAATTATGACTCTAAACCGAGAGAATTTTTATAATAATTCAGTATTTTTAATTAACTCTGCATTATTCATACTCGTATTTTTCCAAGGATAGAAATACTGTAAATAGGTATATGTTCGCGATTGTCTAGTATCCCATTTGAAAAATATACAGATAATATAATAAGAGTAATACATATAAATAATATACAAAGACATATTTATAAAGACATATTTTTACATATGTATTACAGGCTGTCTACTATAATAAATGTGATTAGCTCTTTCAAATAGATACAGCGTGTTAAATTGAATAGAAAAGTCCAAAGTTTTGCAATTTTCACAATACTGGGCCACTTTCACAAACGTTGGTTAACTGCTAACTGAGGGTTAATTGATTCCCCCGTCTCCTCTTAAAAAATAAGACTGAAAAAGATAGGGAGTCGACTAAACTCTGGTTAACCGAAACGTTTGTGAAACTCGTCCTTAGTGAGAAATTAATTAAAGAAGATCTGTGAATAAGCGCGCATCTGCGCGATGAATTAGTCGTGAGAGTAAGCGCGCGATTGTGTGAAGCTGGCCCCATTTTATCCTGAGGATATTTCAAATTGGCCCTTATTTCCAAATGCAATCCCACATCTCATTGTCAATAAGTAAGAGGATATTCCGAGAAGATATCATAAGATATCTTATGCAAAGGCAAGAAATATCTTTGACAGGATATCTTTTTTCCTTGTATAAAATATCTGTAGAACATCGAGTGTTACAATAACGTATCTTGCGATATTTCTTGAGCTCACGTGTCCTCTGGGTGTCATATAATTGTAAGGTATTTAAAAGATATCATAGGTGAACGCTTGTGAATTTAATGTACAGTGATGGGCAGAATTTTACTCGAGAAATGGATCGGAAACGCTCAAGATAATTTCGGGGAATGGTCATCAAGTAAAATATTCCTCGGAGAAGAAGATTTTGGAACGTAACCTTGAATTTAAATTAAACTCGTTTATAAAAAAAAGAGTTGCAACCACATTTTATAAAAGAGGAAAGGGGCTAAAACTTTACGCGCGAATATTCTTTTTCCGACAGCATTGTTATTAATTACAGTTTTCACTACTAATCGAAAACTCGACTGTCACCTCACAAGTGGCTGTAATTGGATTTTCAGTAGAGTAGCTAACTTCATACGCCTGCCACTAATCACATAGATGCACGCTGGTTGGTAGATCTTTATTAATTAATTTCTCATTTAAAATGAAAATCGCAAAACGGCACAAGACTTCTCTGCCGAGTTTAACCCAATGTGTACCGACTTCCAAAAGACGTTACACTTACCACGAAAGATTCTGTATATACAAAATATAAATTTCTATGATTCAAACTTTGAGGAAAATATGGTTGTTCAGTAATGTTGACATTCAGCTACAAGCCTTTCTGTTAGCAAATTAATGGCAGATACAAACAGCATCGGGACAAAGGAGAGGGGAGGGAGGATTTTCTCCGGAAATGAGCGAAAATAAATCGAAATAAACCTGGGCATTTGCGTAGCTCCGAATCGTTCGTCTTACCTTCGCTGTTCTCATCCTCTGTTGACTTGGCCGATTGTAGCTTCGCGCTTGGTTGCTTCGCTGCAATCAAAATTCGCAGCTGGCACCGCGTTCTCTTTTTTGTTTTCCTTGTTTTACTTTTTTCTCCCCCTCTCCCTCCCCTTTAATGCTCGTCTTTTTGCTGAGCGATTCTAATTCCTCATCACAATCGATTACGTTGCTCTAATATCAAGGTTAGTCGAAAAATTCTCAAAACTACTGCGTGCTTATTCATATGTATATGTATATGTGCAACTGTATACACTGAAATTTTGTCGAGATTTTCTTTCCAAATGTCAAATTCTACTTTCGACCACATCGCGAGATATCGATAACAAATTGAAATAAAAACGATGACTCACATTTTTTGGAACTTAATGGAAAAAAAGAGAGCTAAATTGTTTCCGTTGAAGTTTCTTAAAGAGTCGGCGTGTATGATATCTTTTCTAAATCTCCAGTGGTGTCGTGAATGTGTACGTATAGATGGCATTTTACAATGAAATATAATATCTAATATAATAATGTTTTAACTCGTAGGTAGATTTTGACAATCGCGTATGTACTGGTGTTTTATATTATGTGTGATGTCACATTTGTTACTCCTAATCCTCTTTCACCTATGTTTAATGACATAGAAACCAAATATCACGACGCCACTGGCGACACTACAGATGAGTTTCTATCAACCTGCGTAAAGAAAGAAGGGAAAAAAATCGCCTACGATTTGAGCTTACACGGGTGAGAAGAACGGAGTTCAATCGTCCACGATGCATGTCGGGTTGATTTCATTTTTCAAGAGAGACCGGGTATGAGCGCCGTCGACAAGATGGAAAAGTCAATGGCGTGGAATTTATTGCGGCCAAATTGCCTTACGCGAAACGAGGTCGCGGAAGATCGTGCGAGATCGTGAACGATTAAATTTGAGCGACTAGCTGAGAAATCGATGATCAGTGGATGAAACGGAGAAATGGATTCTGACACGGTAATAATATTCGCAGTTATTGGCCTTTTATCAGAAATTCTATCTTATCCTTTTAGATATTTTATCATTTTTCAACTATGTATTCTGTACAGATTACAGAAAACAACTACTAATAATGACAATAATATGATGATTTCATAATTT